CTTTTTTTCATTGAAAACCTTCACCTTTCTAAGAAGGCCTATTTTTCCATCTTTTCCATAACCCAATCATCATCAATAATGGTTCTATGGTATGGAAAAAAAAAAAAAAAAAAAAACTTTTTTTAATTTCCGCATTTTATGTGTTAAAGTTTGTTTTGATTTCAATTGAAATGTGGGTTAGCTTTTTCATGATTACTTTCTAATATGTTTCGCGCCCCCTCCCGAGTGTTCCTATCCAAGCATCCGGCCTCCTAAGGACTTAGATCCCAAAGGAGGTGAAATTTGAAAACGTTCACAAAGTCCATTTATAAACTTAGACAAAGTACTTACAAATAAATGCTCATAATAAGTTTTGAAAATAGAAAGACATAAATCCAAGTACAAACTGTATTAGAGTGCTCTAAGTTTTAAAAAATCATGCAAATGAACATGAGTCATGGGCAATCTAGAGCATAGATTAAGTGATGATATACAATAATATCATATAATTCTCATCCAAACCAGCATGTAAAACATTGTTGCAGCACTTGTATGATAACAATAATGTTAGACATACAAAATTTACCAGATTTTTTGTATAAAGTTGTGGTAGAAGATGAATTGAAAAGAGAATAAAAAAGTCAAACTCATCATGTTCACTTTCCATTCCTCTCTTGTCACATCGCTTTGTAAAAAAAATCTTGTAATTTTCTTGTCATATAGTATACTATGATTATACAATGAACAAGCATGTAAAAATTCCCTTGACAACTCATAAAATGCCTCTCTCTAAATAGCCCCAAACCTTTCAAATCTTTTCAATTAGCCCCTTATTTGCGCTTCAGGGGTTGCAAAAGAGACAAACACCTCCCCAGGGTTCCAACTGCGGCATTGAAAAATTCTTGCCGCGATGGGGTGGTCTCAAGTCTAAATTATGTCGTGCCATTGTAATTGCCATGCCGCGGCATTTAGGCCTTCGGCCTGAATTTTCCCTTTCCCCTTCTTTTCCACTTTTAATTCCCACATGCAAATACAATCCATACACCTTTTGAAACATCACAATAAACTGATTACACAACTATAAGGTTCAATCCCAATTCCACATGCATGTCAACTAAGAATTCTGTTAGGATTATTTTAGAATTACGATAAGTGTGTTAAGTCTTTTATTATTATCTTTTATAATTATATTATTATCTTATTAGGATAGAATTAGGATTATCTTATTATCTCTTTATAATTAGAGTCCTTTTGGGAGTCAGTAGAGTCAAGTGTAAGGCTGTATAATAGCCTAAATCTAGATTGTGAGAATCAATAAAGAATTGTGTAAACTAATCTTTCTATCTCTTGTTCTTGGAGGTCTCTGTTCCTCATATAAACAGATCTTATCCCAAACCCTATCATTGGTGCTCTCGTTCCCTAGTTATGGCTGAAGGCATTCGCTTGCGTCTTTTGGACAAGTAACTTGCTAAAATTATGGCTCTACAATCTGCCCAGGCAGAGACTCTCACTTCTTTAACAGAGAAATTGGAAGTTTTGACTGTTGGTTTTCAAGATGTTACTTTGCAGATTTCAGCTTTAAACAACAAGTTTGATCAAACCTGCCAGCAAAACCAACATTCCGGTGAATCATCTTCAGATTTGACTGGGCGAGGTGGATCGACTTCTGGGAGTTTTTTTCTCAAGTCTTTCTGTTTAGAAGTCACTCGTTTTGATGGCACGGATCCACGTGGATGGAGGTTTAAAGTCGAGCAATTCTTTGATTACCATAATATCTCTACTAAGCAACGATTGACGATCTCTTCCTTCCACATGGATGAGCCAACTCTCTCCTGGTATCGCTGGATGCATTCCAATGGGTAGATCCGTTCTTGGCATTCTTTCCTACAGGATTTAGATGTTCGTTTTGGGCCTTCGGAATTTGTGGATTACCAAGGGCAGTTGGCGAAACTTACTTAAACAGGTTCTGTAGTCGCTTATCAAACAGAATTTGAGGAACTCTCTAATCAAGTTTCTGGCCTTCCAGGTATGTTCCTTCTAAGTTGCTTTGTATCAGGGCTCAAACCAGAAATCCGAAGGGAGGTGCAGTCTTTTCGGCCTCACACCCTCAACCATGCCATGAGTCTTGCCCGCTTACAGGAGGACAAGCTACATGATCTACACCTATACTTGCATTCTGCTGACCCCGTATCTTGTGATCCTAGTAAATCAACTCCTAATGTTCCTTCAGTGCAGCAGGCTCTTTTGCCTACTCCAAACAAATCGGATTCCTTGCGTGTTAAGCGACTCACAGCAACACAGATGCAAGAACGACGCAACAAAGGTTTGTGCTATAATTGCGATGAGCGCTTTCACCCTGGGCATCACTGCACGGCCAAGTTCTTTCTCTTGCTGATGGAGGAGGATGATGATGAGCACGAGGATGAACCGGGATAACTGCTATTGATGGTGTCATACCTTGCAACCTTGAGGATAAGGTTGAGGCGAAGGGGAAGGCAATGTTAGGATTATTTTAGAATTAGGATAAGTGTGTTAAGTCTTTTATTATTATCTTTTATAATTATATTATTATCTTATTAGGATAGAGTTAGGATTATCTTATTATCTCTTTATAATTAAAGTTCTTTTGGGAGCCAGTAGAGTCAAGTGTAAGGCTATATAATAGCCTAAATCTAGATTGTGAGAATCAATAAAGAATTGTGTCAACTAATCTTTCTATCTCTTGTTCTTGGAGGTCTCTGTTCCTCATATAAACAGATCCTATCCCAAACCCTATCAAATTCAATAAATAAATGCCAAGAATTTCATTCAGTTTTCATAGACAAGTCTATTTCAACTAAAACTTTACTCTAATTTTCTCCTCCTCCATTCAAATTATCAAACACACCAGCCCTTCCAAAGAGGCTGGATTTCCCACAACACCAACCATTTCTAACATACAATTTTCCAAAATTTCTCTTCTAAACATAAACATTATGCATATACATAAATTGTACACATGCATGTCAATTTCATATCAATACATAGTCCATAAATCAATAAATTCCAACCCAATAACATGCATGTCAAACTTAATCCAAGAATATGAAGAATTTTACTTCCAAAGCCGAAACATAACCCATATTAAACAACCATGCATATACAAAATGATCAATTTAATTAAAACATGATTTTTGATGCAATTTATACTATTCCACTCAACATCTTTGAAGCTCAACCCTTAATCCGAAGACGGATTGGAATCCTCTAATTGTGCCACCACTTGTCCTCATTTTATCCGAAATGCAATAAACTCTCCATACAAAGGTTTCCCTATGGTAACACATCAATATTAACTTTATTGGACATTTCAGACACCAAAAGATTAACTTAACTTCCTTTAAAATAATAATAATAATAATAAATTTGTCTCATAACAGAATAATGACCACTTTCGGATTTTTCATAAAAACTCCGGTTAGTCAATCAAGCTATAATTTTAATTGGGAGTTCTAGACACAAATATATTGTTCTAGTAAAACTTTCAAGTAATTCCGGAGTCAAAACTATTTAAAACAGGATTTTCTTTTAACTCTTTCAAAATTGCCAAACTATTTCCAGGATTGATGTTGCTGACTTGGAAAATTCATATCTATTTAACCTTTCATTGAAACATCATGAAACTTTCCAGAATCAAACTAAACACATAATAGAATCTCCAGAATTTAACATCATTCATTTTGGAAAAATATGGAAGTATTGAATCATTTCCTGAAAATGCCTACTCTGCAGAAAACATAAATTCCAGAATTTACAGAGCATACTTCAAAAATTCATAACAATTCCAATACTTCGAATTTTTGAGTGAAATTAATTTACAAATAATCCTCCAGAGTTGATTGCATATAATGAGTTGAAATTAAGAAACCGTTGCTAATTAATGAATGAGTTTGCATAGGCACAAAAATTGACGCAGGAGTTGGTTGCATATGCTGATTTTGAGCAAAGTCTTGTCTTCAAATACTTTTGAACTTGCAACAGGATCAGCAGATGCAATAGTGGAACCACTAGTTGTTTGGGAAGTAATAAATAAAGCTTGTTGAAACTGAGATGGTTCAGGTTGCTGCATATTATAGAATCCTAGTTGTTGAAAACCTGCTGAGGACTGAGAATTCTGATGTTGAACTCCTTGATAGTAATTTAAGACTAATATATTATACTTTGGATTCTGAAGATAACGAGTAATTGCTTGTACCTGGTGCGAACTTTGAAGGGAACCTTTTTGTTAAGGAAAAGAATCCAAGAGAACAAGAAGAAGGAAAACAAACCAAGACTACAGCTAGCAGTCATAAACTAAAATCAAGAGTTTATAGCAGTAGGCAAAAAGGAAGAAAATCTGCTCAGATTCCAGCAGATTACACCAAGAGACAAAGAGGAAAATCTGCCCGAGACAAAGCAGATTACAATAACAGACATTGACAAAAATCTGCCAAGATTACAGAAATACAAGAATTCAAATGAGGAAAACTTGATCAGCTATGATTGTTAGTTTCCATTGTTAATATTTGCATTCAATACACCACATTGTCTATTACTCCATTCGGTTTATTTAATTTTGGTAATATCTTTATTCAGTGTAGATCTTTTGTTTCATACTTTATTTTAGTTTAACCCTCATTTTAAATTTTGATTAAATTAAATAAATGTAATCGCTGTCAATATATTATTGGTTTGTAGTAGCAACTCAACAAAAATCTAAACTCAGCCTTATGTGTTGGCCCGACAATGGTAGTCTAAAATTTCTCATTATTCATATACTAAGTTAATAAATCTCCATTATAAAATGTGATTGGTCGTACTTTTCTAAGAGAAAAGAAAAATATAACTGCATAACCAGAAAACAAACTTTGTTACTACCATTAACAGCCGACGCTCGTTTCTTTCCTAAAGGTTATTCCGTCCCATCAATTTTTGAAACTGACTTTCCGTGTTGGTTGACAATAAAGTCTTATTTGTACAAATATTTTAGGAATTGGAAACACATGGAACAACAAAGTAAGATGGATATGTTTGATATTTTGCCAGAAGAGTGCATATCTCAAATCATAAATCTTACAGCTCCCCGAGATGCAAGCAGATTATCAGTGGTGTCTCCTGCATTCAAATCAGCTGCAGATTCAGATGGCGTCTGGGAAAAGTTCCTGCCATCTGAATACAAGGACATCATTTCTAATTCGGATTCATCCTCATTGTTGACTACTTGCATGTCGAAGAAGAATCTTTTTCAACATCTCTGTGACAACCCCATCATCATCAATAATGGCGCTGTGGTATGCTAATTAAACTCAATTTATTCATCTTCCAATCTAATGTACAAAAGGATTGTTTTCATTAACTCATATGAGATCCCTAAGAATTAAATTCAATGGTTTCGTTTAGAAAGTATTAAAAATCATTTTAATTATCAAACACCTGTTTACAAACAAATAAATAAAACTCATCAAATTTGATTGAACTGACATCTTTTGGTTGTCATGACTTAATTAATATAAAGTTGACATTTGTCATTCTATGACACAGAGCATCGCATTAGAGAAAAAGAGTGGAAAAAAATGTTGCATGGTTGGGCCAAGACAGCTAAATGCAACATGGGGATCAGCCGGAGATGTGCCTATGTATTGGATATTGCCGTCTCAATCAGATTCAAGGTTTGTTTCGGGGGTCTTTATTTTTGTTTCACAAATTTCAGATTATGCATATAACAGTTAATTTTCACCCAACTATGTCAAATTTATGAGAATTTATCACGTTGATGCATTTGAAGGTTTGCTGAAGTGGCTAAATTCGGACCAATGTGGTATTTCGAAGTGAAGGGAGGGATGGAGACTAAACTTTTATCTCCGAAAACCATCTATGGAACTTACCTTGTGTTCAAGTTTCATGATCTTGAGCGTAGAATTTTGTATAAAGAAGATCCTCCTGTTAAGTGTGGTGTGTATTTTGAAGGAAAAGATGACGGGAAAAGACACAGCTTGTTCCTCGATCCTGCCGGAAGTATGCTGCGACGATATCGAGACAAAGGAGATGGATGGATGGAAATTGAGATGGGAGAGTTCTTCAACGAAAATGGTCATGATGGAATGTTGATGTTTACTTTTATCTCATGATAGTGACAATACTAGAAACCCATTTATTATTGAAGGAATTGAGCTTAGACCTAAATATGCTAGATAGAATTATGTCTTCAACACAAACATCTTCTATAAACATGTTTATGTCAAGATGTAAAGTTTTTTTAGTGTTTTGTATGCTTCACTTTGTAAATGTAATTTTCTGTTATGAATTTGAGTTCCACTCAATTTATCTAAAAGGTAACATCTGAAAATTAAGTAGAATCTTGAAATTCTAATATCAAAATGCATCATTTTTTCCATTTTAGATTTTGTTATAACCACACGCACAAAATCAACCAACCACAATCAACACAATAAAGAATCACAAACCACACACACACAATAACACCAAGGATTTACCATGGTTCACTTGCTCAATATGAGCAAGCTACGTCCACGTTGAGCTCGGGAAACAATCAAGCTCGCTGCACTAAAACTGTCAAGATTACAGTTCAGATTACATACAGTGACGAAAACCCTTTAAACCCCTTCTACAATCTGTAACTCACCCTAGAGACTTTACCCTTCGAATCCCTAATGATCGTGTAATCAAATACACCCAGAATGACCAAAGTTACAAGATTTAATCACCAAAATCATAAACCCTAACAAACTCGACTTTGTTCCAAAGAAGAAGAGAAAGTTCACAAGAAAAACACTGTGTATCTGAATTTGCCCAAAGTTCAGCTTTTATATGGTTGACCAAAGAGTTAATTTCAGCCTTCGAATCTTCTCTCCATCAACGCTCAGGATCAGCCTTCGGATCTTCTCTCTATCAACGCTTAGGATCAATTCTTCAGATCTGCTCAAAACGACATCGTCTCATTTGAACCATAAAACGTCAACGTTTCGAGCCATCACACTAACAATCTCCACCTTGATGGATTGAAACCTCTGTAACAGTGCAGCTTGCCTAATATGAATCCTTCATTGCTCTTTTGTTACCATTGCTTACTTAATGGACAATAAGTTCAAGCAATGCTTGAACTTTGCAAGGGTAACAATCTTCGTGCCCATGTTAGCTGGTTTATGTTCAATAGGAACCTTGTTTAGAGCTATTTCTTCTCTGGTGACTAGGTCCTTCACAAAATGGCAATGTACATCTATGTGTTTAGTTCGTTCATGATACACCAGATTTTTGCTCAGGTGGATTGTGCTTTGACTATCTAAGAATATTGTTGGCTTATGTTCTGTCAAATTTGCTTCACTCAGGATCCCTTTAAGCTAGATTGCCTCTTTAAATACATCAGCTACTTCCACGTATTCAGCTTCGGTTGATGACAGTGCAACTATGGGCTATAGCTGTGACTTCCAACTGATGCAATTTCCACCCAGGGTGAAGTAGTATGTTGTAGTTGACTTCCTAGTGTCCCTGTCACCTGCAAAGTCTAAATCTACAAAACTAGCCAACTCAAGTGAAGTAGTCCTTTTACAATACTCCAATCAAACATTCAATGAACCATTAACATATTTAAGCACCCATTTCAAGGCTGTCCAGTGTTCCATACCAAGATTGGACATGCACCTGCTTAGTAAAGATATCACAAATGATAAATCTGGCCTAGTACTAATCATAGCATACATCAAGGACCCAATTACATTTGCATAGGGTATGGACTCCATTTTAATTAACTCTGCATCAGTATTAGCGCATTGGACTTTACTCAATGTGAAATGACTAGCTAAAGGCATTGAAGCAGTTTTAGTCCCTGCCATTCCAAACTTTTCCACTAACTTATGCAGGTATGAACACTGATGGATTCTCAATTCACATGCCTAAGATCTTCTTTGCATCCCCTAGGTCTTTCATTTCAAATTCAACATTGAGTTTATTCTTTAACTCACATATTAGAGACTTTGATTTACTTATCAGTAACATGTCATCTACGTACAACAGTAAGTAAATAGGCATGTTATTCCTAACAGCAAAGTAGAAACAGTTGTTGTACCTACTCCTAGTGAACCCTATACTTACAATAAAGGTGTCAAACCTCTTATACCATTGCCTAGGGGATTGCTTTAGGCCATATAAGGATTTAAGTAGTAAAAGCAGACCTTGTTGAGAGCCTTTTGATATATGAATCCTACTGGTTGGCTCATATAGATCTCTTTCTCAAGGTCTCTATGTAAGAAAGTGGTTGTGACATCCCAACTGCTCAAGTTCTAAATCCTGGTGGGCTACTATGGACAACATTAATCTTATGGTTTTGTACTTAACTATTGAGGAAAAGACTTCATTGAAGTATATTTCCTCCTTTTGGGTAAAACCCTTGGCTGCTAATCTAGCCTTGTACCTGAGGGGTTCCTTGGCAATGATACATTCCTTTAATTTGAACAGCCATTGTCATTGTATTACCTTTTGATCCTTTGGCTTTGGTATGAGTTTCCAGGTTTTGTTTACCTCTAAGGACTTCATTTCTGTTTCCATGGCAGCTTTCCAGTTGTTCCTTTCCCTTGAATTCATGGCTTCCTCATAGGTTTCAGGCTCTGATCTTTGCACTTCAGTACCTGTAAGAAGAGCAATGTAAATTAGATCAGCAAATGAATAACTTGTGGGTACCCTTACCTGTCTTCTGGTTCTATCTCTTGCAAGTTGGTAGTCTTGCAAGTTTTCAAGCTGAGTTTTAGTTCTTCTGTTGTTTTTGTCTCATCCTTTTGTTCTAGATCAGATTGTCCAATTTCTCTTCCTGGTCCAAGAATAGCTTCAATTTCTTGGATGGTTTTAGTTTCTTGAGGGTGTTGGGGTTGAGCAGGAAGCTCCACCTCAATTGGTGTAACCCCAGGCTGACTAATGATCTCTTTTAAGCTTAAAGTAGAACCTGCATCAATGTTAGTTTCCTTACAGGGAAAAACTCCCTCATTAAATATCACATCTCTGCTCACAATAATTCTAACCCCTAGAGATTCCCTATCCCAAAGTCTGTAGCCCTTAGTCTCTTATTGATACCCTAAAAAAATACATTTGGTTGATCTAGGTTCAAGTTTTCCTCCAATGGTGTGTGCATAGGCTGCACAGCCAAAGACTCTTAGGTGGCTTAGGTCAAGTCTTCTTCCAGTCCATATTTCTTCTGGACACTTTAGGTTTATTGCTGTAGATGGGCTCCTGTTTACCAAATATGCTGCAGTGGTAAAGGCTTATCCCCAAAAGGAGGTGAGGAGTTTGGAGGTAACTAATAGGCACCTGACCTTATCAAGGAGGGTTCTATTCATTCGTTCTACCACTCCATTCTATTGTGGGGTGTATTTCACTATCTTGTGTCTTAAAACCCCTTGATCACTATAGAATTTGTCAAATTCTTGGTTGCAGAATTCCAACCCATTGTCGGTTCTAAGAACCTTCACTTTTTTGTTCATTTGGTTCTTTACTAGGAGTTTCCAGTCCCTAAACCTAGCTAGGGTTTGATCTTTGGATTTTAATAGATACACCCACACCTTACGGCTGTAATCATCCACCAGAGACATAAAGTAGCTATTTCCCCCATGAGATTTCACTTTCCTAGGTCCCCATAGGTCAGAGTAGATATATTCTAGTTGGCTAGCGGCAAGATGTGTTCCTTTAGTGAAACTGTTCCTATGTTGTTTACCTAAGATGCAGTTCTCACAGAAATCAAGTGATGAAACATTGTCCTTACCAAGTTGCCCTTTATGCTTCAGGATGTCCATACCTCTTTGACTCATGTGGCCTAATCTAAGGTGTCATTTCTCTGTATTGGACAGGTTAGTAGATACAAGCACAGAATTAAAACAATTTTGAGAATGGTTCCCACAGAGTATATAAAGACCATTTCTCTTCTCTCCTTTTAGTATCAGGTTTTTATTTCTGTAAATGTTCAAAAATCCTTTTTCTGCTCTGTAATAGCATCCTGATTCATCTAAGCTACCTAGAGATATTAGGTTTCTTTTAAGTTCAGTGATATACCTGACCTTGGTTAGTTTTACCAATTTTCCAATGTTAACCTTTAGTGTCACTATGCCTATCCCTCTTACCCTACATGCATTGTTATTTCCTATGTAAACAGTTTCATTATGAGTATTTTCAAACTCCTGGAACCAATCCCTATTAGGACTCATGTGAAACGAGCACCCTGAGTCCAGTACCCACTCATCCACAGTGTCAGACATTGACACAGTGAGGACTTCAGGTTCCTCTACTAGGTTTTTAGTGGTGGCTAAGTTACTCTTTGTATTCCCCTATTTTTACTTCTTGATCCACTCAAAGCAGTTCTTTTTAATGTGGCCAGTTTTATTGCAAAAGAAGCATTTTCTAGATTTTGTTCTGTTCTTGTTACTACCCTTCCATTTTTTCTTATTTCTGGTCCCCTGATGTGTTTGATTTCCCTTCCCAGACTAACTAGACTCTACTTTGCTCTTAACAAACAAGTTTGTGCCATTTCGTTTCTGGACCTTAAGTTCTAGTTCTCTAGCCCTAAGCCCTGCTGTTATTAGGTCAAGATTTGGTACAATACAGAGTATTGTAGAGCATTTTTTACTACTTGGTAGTGATCAGTCAGAGAGTTTAATAAGATCATTGCTAGGCTAGTTTCTCCTAATGCTTGGTCTGTCCCTTTCAGAATCAGGGTCATTTTTAGAAATTCGTCTAGGTTTTCCTCTATGCTCCTAGAACTGTCCATCTTATACAAAAATAAGGCCCCCTTTAAAAAAGCTAAGTTAGGGGCAGATTACAAAGCATACAAGGAGTTGAGTTTACCCCATAATTCAAGCAGTGATTCGATTCTGTCTACCTTCTTGAGGACGCTGTCGGACAGATTCATGACTATTTGGTTGTATGCCTTTTCATTGATCTCCTCCTTCTTTTTCAGCTTCTCCTCTGGCCACTTCTTGGGGTCTCCTTCCAGTGCAATGGCCACCTTGTTATAAGAGAGCAACACTTTCATTTTTTTTCTTCCAACTCCCGAAGTCAATCTTCCCATCATATTGGGAGATTTCCATTTGGGTGGTGGTAGTTGACATAGTGAAGTGTTTGATTGATTTGC